TTTTTTTTTTTTTTTTCATTTTTTACTTTACCCTTTCTGATGGAAATTTCATGCTCATAGCGGTCGGTAGTTGCAGCGTCGAAAAGTAAATTATACACCGAATTTACTTATATGCAAAATTCCAAGTACTTGCAGGTATCGAAGTATTTACGAGACGACGTTACAACGAATCGCTTTTTCGTGGAGCGGAGATTACGAGGGCACCGGTTGTGCAGGCGATCGTGGAGAGACAACAACGCGTGGCTGGGAGAAGCTGCTCGGTAAAATCGAATCGCGTCGCAACGTTTTCCTCGGAGCGTGATTCGAATCGTAGGTGGACTCCACGTGAAGCAACGCTTGATATGTGGAGCAATGAAACAGTTACTTAGAAACTGCGCCGGGGCAGCAGCTCTCTGCTCGAGCAAAAAGCCCCCGGATGACGTTTCCACGCGATAAATTAATCCAATCGTCCGTCCCACGCGTTTCTTCTCTCTCCTTCTCTCTCTTACGCCGCCACTTCCGCCACATTCCATTTCATCGCGTCGCTTCCTTTCTCTATCTACTCTTATTCTTTATTTATTTGTTATCTCTTTCGCTCTTGGTTCTCTTCGCATTCTCGTCTTGCATTCGTCACGTTTCGTTTAAAAATTCGAGATCGATACACAAAATGGAGGTATCGCGAATGTTATGTTTCTCTTCTCAACCGGCGATTTTCTGTTATTAATTTGCGATTATTAATCAAGAGCATAATTGCAATCGAGAAATCGTCGATTTGTTTCATTTAACTTCGTAGAGACAGATTTAAAAGCGTGGATTTCCTCGAATACCTTTTCTCTTTTTTCGATTATTCCTTATCATGCAGGAGAAAGTAAGGATACTGTCTTCTCGAAAAAAATTCAAACAAATGTATGAAGAGATGTCAAAAATTATTTTTGTAATTGGATCCATCATCATTTTGATGGAGAATTGGAAGCTTCCCCTTTGATCACTGATCTTTCTCTGCGAAAACTGTATCAGCTTTTTCAGAATTATCAACAATTTTTCATTGTCATTATTTATGTTCTTCACTGTTCTCCATTCAACATTCTTTCTTCATTATTTTATAATAAATTTAACGAACTGTGCAACACTGTCCCATTCAAACAAATTTTGCCCACACATTTTGAATGTAAATGTGTGTCGCGATTTTTCGGGAACACGAAGTGAATCGAATTCAAATGTATGCAATGAAGATCATTCGATTATTTACGTAATGAATAAATTAAAAATTAATAAGTAAATTAAGTAAATAAGTTGAATATTCAATAAATGAATGAATTAAATGTTAAATATCGTGAACGAAGCGAATTGGACAAGATTTTGGACGAATGGCCATTCGAACGAAAATTTAAAAAAAAAAAAATCGCTGGAGGGAGTTCGATTGTTATTCAATGTCCAACACGGTCTCTTTTTCTGCGTACAGGAAGCATACAGAAAATTCGCAAGTACTGTGAGGTTGCAGAGGAAGTTGCAGACGCGA